TTCCAGAAGCCTCCCCCTCCCGCCGGCTCCTAGGCAACCACCTGTGGTCCTTCGCCGCATTCCTCTTCCTTTTCTTCTCCAACACCGCCTTCAATTTCCCCTCCTTGGCCAAGCGCTCGTACCGGTCCTCTAACTCCAACCGTCGTTTCTCTTTCTTTTTCAAATAAAAGGGTTCCTTCCCAGCGGAGACTTTACTGCGCTCCGCCCGCTTCCGCTCCTGCAAGACAGACTCCTTTCTCTCGAAACCTTCCCGCTCCCGGCGTCGTTGCACCAACTTGGCCAAGGCCTCCTTCACCTCCTCTTCCCTCCCCCTCCCTTCCCGCCGGGTCTGCTGCTGCTCTCTCCTGGTGCCTACCCCCTTGCCTTTCCCCAACGCCGTCTGCAAGGTTTGAATCTCCCGGGCTTCGTACTCCTCCAAGAACCCGTACGCCTTTCGAAAGGCCTCGTAATTGACTTTCCCCAACGCCGGGTCGAAGCGCGGGTCTCGGGCTTTCCGACGTGCGGCTTTTCCTTGCGAGCCCCCCACAGGTCCCGATGGGAAGACCGGCCGAAGCCTGCTCACGGGCTTCTTGGAAGAAACTTCTTTGGGCGCATGTTTGTTGTGTCCTTTGGAACGCTCTGGCTGTTCTTCCTTTCCCTTGTCGTCGTTGCACTCCTGGACTGTCTCCACGCGAAGTTGTCGCCGTCTTCCCCCGCCGTGGGCCCCTGAAGCCAGCAACACCAGGCGTTCCGCCATCGGCAAGCTTTTCAAGGTGGACCGTACCTGTTCATCTCTTTCATCTCCCTCCCCGTCCCTGTCTGAGCTGGCGTCACTGTCGTCGGTCGAGGAGGAGGTGGTGGTCTCTGATTCATGTCCCTTCCCGACGTGCTCCCCCCGTTCCTCCACCGGCATTCCCGCTTCCTTCTCGTGCCAGGACACCCTCTCCAAGGACTCCTCCTCCTCCTCCTCCTCACTCGAAGGTTCTATGTTGGCTCGACTTCGAATACGTTGCATGTACGCGTCTTCTTCTCCTCGTTTTGTTCCTTTCTTTCCCGGTGTATCCTCCCTTTTACCTCCCCTCCCTCCAGCCGGAACCTTGCCCGGCCATCCCCCTCCCCGGGATCGGTTTCGCATGCTGCCAAAACGGACCTGTCCCTGCATGCCGCTTGAATTTTTTATTTGCACATGTAGCTTTGTTGCGTGATACTGTCTAGGCCTATGTTATACGAGGCCGTGAGTCGGTATGGTATCGGCGTGAGCACGAGGGAGCTTTGTAAGAGGTTGGCGACAGGGTCTGGTTACTGTGCGAGGAGAGCACATCCTAAGGAGAAAACTTTGACACAGGCATCATGAAACTCATAAGCCCCTTGCAAGGTGATCGCATTCAATGTGTCCATTCATTCACGTTCATCCATTTGCAATAGGCAGAGCCCAAATTTTGTCAGCAAGTCAAACTTGGGAGCGCCCTCGACGTGCGCCGCCCCCCCCCGCCGCATCCTTCCTCCCGTCCCAGAGGCCACAAAATCCATGTCTACGAGCAAAGCAGCGACTTCCGCTGCCTCTGCCATCTTCACCCGTGTCAGTTCCACGGTAAAAGATGCGGCTTTGGAGGCCGCCAAGAAGGCTCGACCTCAATGGCATCTGATTGACGCCAAAGACCAGGCAAGCTCTTCTCCCCTCGGCCCCCCCCTCATTCCCACCTTACACGTCTCCCTTGGCGTCCGCGGCGCGTCTCATTTCTACGTTTATCGTCTCCGCGTGCCCTCTTGGGCAAGTTCTGAAATATGGCGGGCTCGGTCTCCTCCTTGTGTGTCACACGTGATCAGCTCACCCCCTGGACTTCTTTTCCCCGTGCTCTCTCGATATCAGGTCGTCGGGCGACTGGCAAGTCAAATAGCCTCCATCATCCGCGGGCGCCACAAGCCTTTCTACTGCCCCAATGCAGACTGCGGGGACTACGTGGTGGTGGTCAATGCCCGGCACGTGACTTTGACCGGCCGGAAAATGAAGGACAAGAAGTACTACTGGCACACCATGCACCCAGGCGGCTTGAAGAGTAGGACTCCAGAGCAGTTGATAGAGAGGGGCCAAGCGGAGGAAATTTTGCGCCACGCGGTTCTGGGCATGTTGCCGAAGAACAAGCTGAGGAACCACGCCATAAAAAAACTCAGGGTCTTTCCCGAGAAGTACCATATTTATGAGGAGCAATTGCGTGGAAAGCAGTCGCTTTTGTAAACCACATCAAAGATTAAAAAAGGATAGAGAAGCATTGAGCGCTTGACGGAAATGAACCGCGTGTCGCACGCCCTCCTACGCGCGCCAGATCCTTTTGTACGGGTTTTTTTCAATTTCACATACGCCTATGTTCCAGGAAGCAAGCAGACAGCTCCCCGACTACCTTCTCTTTCACTCAATCACTTCTCGTGCACTCTGTCGCCATCATACTCAAGCTCACGCCTCCTTCCTTGGCTTCCATCGCTTGCC